TAACATTCTTTCTTCAAAGTTTCTCAAATAACTGTCCTCATCGATAGAAGGCAATAGTAGCAAGTTCACAACATATTTAATGGATATGTACTAAAATCACCACCCTACAGCTGTATATCAGCCTACGACCATCACCCTACTAATAATTTTTGATTCATAGAAAATATAATAAGCATTTTCAAAATTATAAGTCATGCTGTCTATGTTGAACTAAATAACTGATATCTAAATAAAACAAGATTGTAAGTACTCATAGCATTCTAGAGAGGGAATATTAAAAATAAAGACAGGACCTATGAAGTAGACCAAACTTATACCTGGAGGGAAATTCATTGCTTCCAATGTTCTTTTATTATTTATTACTATTATTATTATAAAAATAGAAAATGTAGGAAGCATTCCTTTCAAATTAGTGACATTCTAGTTATCACACAACAGGAAAAGATAAGAGAATGATATTAGGAAGATGACAGAATTGCAATAAATATCTCAATCACATTTGAGTGATGTCTTAGAATTTTTTTGATAGCAAGTGACAAAAACTCAAAGCAGCTTAACCAAGGGAAGTTTTTTTAAAAAAAATTCATTACATTTTATAGACGCTAGTAGACATGACAGAAGAAATTAAGTAATCAGGGCTATTGTGGACCAATAGGACAGAAAGAATGTGGGTGATGCCTCTTACTCCCTTGCTCTATTTTGCTCTCTCTTGTTTATTTTCCCTTGGTTAATTTCTTCTTCACGAGACTTCAAAATGGCCAGAATATTCCTCACCTTTTAGATTTTTCACATGAGAGGCAATAGGTTTGTCTCACAAGCTATAGTTTAAACAAGCTTGTGGAAGAATGTTTCAAAGCCTCACTTGAGTCATTTATCATTTCAAAAACAATATATTCTCCTTCCTTTTGGACAAAGGTACATTTTAATTAAAATTGTGGGGAAATCATTCTTGGAAGCCCAAACCAAAGGATGATACCAAGTGCTACTAAAATGAAATCACATGATAGAAATAATGTAAGATTGTGGGAGTGAGAGCCAAGTTCCCACCCTCAGCTTGAACTGGAAGAGATGCTGTACTGAGACGTAGTAAAAGCACCAAAAACCACCCATAAAAATAAAAGAAAACAAATAAAGATATAAGATTTAAAAATAAATGTACATATACTAATAGAAAACTATGAATTTAATAAATAATGCCAGCCAAGCACGGTGACTTACACCTATAATCCCAGCATTTGGGGGGACTGAGGTGGGTGACTAGCTTCAGCCCAGAAGTTCGAGACCGGCCGGGACCACATGATGAAACCTCATTTCAACAAAAAATTTTAAAATTAGCTGGGCACAGTGGCACACCTGTAGTCCCAGCTACTCAGGAGGCTGAGGTGGAAGGATCACTCTAGCCCAGGAGGCTGAGGTTGCAGTGAGCCGAGATTGAGCCACTGCACTCCAGCCTGGGCAACAGACTGAGACACTATCTATAAATAAATAAATAAATAAAGCAATATGTGTTTTTTTTGTATATTTGTATTGTATTATTTTATTTGAAAATAAAATATTTTAATTTTTTTTATAATTATGTTCTTTGTATTGTATTATTTTATTTGTAAATAAAATGCATTTATTATAAAATATTTAATATTATATTCTTTGTATTGTATAATTTTATTTATAAATAAAATACAGTAAGAAAATTATGAAAATTTGAAAAAAGTTTATATAAATATAAAGAGAAGATTAAAAAACAATTACTTTTCAAAAATTTCGTAAACATAAAGAAGATGGAAAGCTATCAACATACTGTACACATGAAGAGTAGCATTTGTCCTCAGATAAGGGTCTGGGGCTTCGAAGAATAACCCAAATTTTACTGTTTCCTTTCATCTATTTCTCCCCTCCAACTCCTTCTAGAATACCTCTACATCAATCCAGCTGAGAATCCCCCGGAGTGTCTCATGTGCATTCGTGTCTACGCACAAGTCTAGTAAGCTTCCCAGTTAGTTACTGTGTGGCATTGGTGTTTCTTTCCTCTCTGGGCTTCTGGTGTTGAGTACCGATAGCTTCACTGGACTTCATGGTCTTCCAGGAAGGACTCAGGCATCTTGCTGGGCATCTTTCAGCTTCTCCTCTTTCATCTAGGAAGCAACTTTTTCTGCCAGAGCCCACTGTAGCTAGGAATTGGCATCCAGGAGATGAAAAACTAAATGTTTCTGGTTTCAGTAGGAACACTCTGACACAACACAGTGGTGCTGCTCACATCCCAATGTCTTAGTGACTTTAGGAAATAAAGCAGCTCTTTATTATTGTTTTCTTACATCCTCCTTATTCAACACCGCACTCAGTACATAAATCCAGATGGGATCTGGACAGTAAAATAAATCTGAATGACAGATAATGTACTCTCCTCAAAAATGACTCTCGTCTTTTTCAACCGAAAGGAGGACATTTGTTTATTTCAATGAAAGCGAGTTCATTATTATCTGTTCCTACTTCCTTGGGAATGATTGTTCTCTCAGGTGCATGCTAAGTGCAAATTTTCTGCATAGCAGAAACCTGGGCTTGAATCCAGGTGTTCTGATTCTGAGTTTCTTTCTCTAAACACTGGTAATGACCATAGAAAGTCTATTTTAAAAGGAAACAAAAACCAAAGACAAATAAAACTATATGCAACTAGAGAGAATTGTATCATCATGAATTAGATGAGCTCTGCTTTCTACCCTTCTCAATTTAAGTGGGGGTTCATGTTACCCCTTGCTTTCATTGACATTTTTCTTGGTCCGGTGTTCTCCTAGGTCTCCAAATGAAGCTATCTCTTGCAGTCTGCAAAATACAACATTGTACTAATTTAATTCTGTTTTATCTCATGTTGCTCTCTAATTGGTTCATGTATGTCAGTCATCTTTCCAGCTAGACAGTGAATCTTCAACAGGCAGGAATCATACTATTGTGACCCCACAGAGTCTCATATGGGGTTGTGCATGGTGCAGGAGTGAAACTACTTATTTTCATTCATGTCTAACCTACATGCAGAACCAGTCTTTCTCCTTTCATATAACTGAATACTGAAATCATTAATGTAAAAATCAATTTGTATTAGAAATTTCTCAAATCAAATTCCTATTTTATTAGAATGTAATTTTCTGAATACAGTAGAAAAATCTCTGCCTCTTAATGAATTCTATTTCAAATGTTCTAATTATAAGACTTTCAAATCTCATTAACTAAACCGGGCATTAAAAATACAATAATAATAAAATGAAACAGGAAACTGTTGATATGATTAGATTTGGACAACTTTCCTCTTTTAGTGAGGAAGAAAATATGGTTTGAGTAAATGATAACTCAAGCATAGGAAGCATACTTTATAAAGCACAAGGAATACACTTATCTACGTGTTCTAGTAGAATCAATTTCCCTAGCCAATTGTAGCTAAGCTAGAGTTATAAATATGAGTGGCAAAATGGTGTATCTTAACAAGGGCATTTTGGCATTAGCATTTTTATGATGTGTATTTTCAACAGTGATGCAGAATGAAAACATGTACCACATAAAGATACCATCTTCTGTTTCCCATCCTCATGTACAATGGTCGAAGCCTTTATTGTACTGTTTATTTTGGAATTTGAACCCAAGTTTATTGGTTTCTATCTACTTAAAACCTCTTTACCACATTTTTCTGAAAATGTAGGACAAAACAACATGTGAGCAAGTAGCATAGGTTTCTAAAACCTGTTGGTCTTGCCCTAGCGTTTTTCTTGTCTCTTAGATGTTATACTCCTTGGAGGCAGAGCAAAGAAACAAAAGATAAGAAAAACAAAACAAAACAGATGAATAATCATTCATTCAGTTCTGGCAGATTTGAAGTCATTAGAGAATCATAAAATGCCAGAGCTAGAAGCAATCTTCAGATCATTCTAGACCTCCTGGCAATATAACTGAGAGTAGTGGCAGCCTAGAAGCAAAATTATTTACTCCAAATTGGCTGCTAACTGAAGGTAGAATACTCAGCTCCAAACACTCCTCAGCAGGCTGAATGTTCACTAAAGCATATAATCCAGTCCTTAATCTGTCCCCTTTGTTCCTGTTTGCTGAAATCATATTCTGTTAGGGCCTGTATCTATTCAGCCACCATATTGCCTTCTGTAAGTGCTCCTGCTGCTGCTTCCTGTTGCTCCTATGAGGAGAGCTGGGGTTAGGGAAAGAACTTGAGGAGACCCCAGGGGCTAGACTCATCCTGCCAGTAAAGGTACCTGTGATGTCTTGACTAAATCACTGTACCACTTTGGGTCTCATTTCTTCACCCCACAAAAAAATGAGGAGGAGTATATGATAGAGACTTGCCATTCAAAATATGATCCTAAAAAAAACAGCACTGGCTAACCTTGGAGCTCGTTAGAAATACAGAAACTCTGGGCCGGGCGTGGTGGCTCACACCTGTAATTCAAGCACTTTGGGAGGCCAAGGCGGGCAGATCATGAGGTTAGGAGATAGAGACCATGCTGGCTAACACGGTAAAACCCCATCTCTACTAAAAATACAAGAAATTACCTGGGCTTGGTGGCGGGCTCCTGTAGTCCCAGCTGCTCTGGAGGCTGAGGCAGGAGAATGGCGTGAACCCGGGAGGCGGAGCTTGCAGTGAGCGGAGATTGCGCCACTGCATCCCAACCTGGGCGACAGAGCGAGACTCCGTCTCAAAAAAAAAAAAAAAAAAAAAAAAAAACCCAAAGAATCTCAGGCCCCACACAGAGCTACTGAATGGGGATCTGCATTTTAACAAATGTCCAGGTAATTCACATACACACTTAAGTGGGAAAAATGCTGAGGGGATATAAAAAATGTTCTTTCTGTTACATATTATTCATGCTTTTTAGTAGGGAAATAATTCAACTGCGTCAGTTTTTCCCACTGAGAAAAGCCATGCTATGGGTGATACAGAGACAGGAACGCTTTATTCAGGGCCCTTCAAGACTTACCATCTAATCACCATCTCTCCCTCCCTGTAGACTCAGCTTTGAAGTAGACCTTCCTCCCGCTGCCGCTCTGTTTCTGCCCATATAATGAAGGCTTACCACTTTCTGTAAGCTTTGTCTGCATGACCTCATCCAGCTGGGAGATCCCCCTGCCAGGCCAGCAAATGACCAATCCCATCATCCCTTCTGAGGACAGCACCCTGGGAAGGTAAGTGACTGGGCAAAGGTTACCTGGTAAATGGTGGGTGGAAATGAAAATCCAGGAAGATGGCTTACCACCTGGTGAGGTCCTAAAACCATTAGAGCACTTTGGGCTAATGCTGCTCTCAGCTGCATTATATTTCATGCACATTTCCTGCCCTGCAGCCATTGTTTCCCTTGTAATTACAGACTCATATTCAGCTGCGTTGAGAATGCTGATGGCTGTAAAAGAGAACACTCACCACAGTGGGTGGGAAGGGTTGGTCAAATTGAAAATCTTCTATTGTGTAAGACTGGAAATCTGTGATTTTGGCTGACTCCCCACCCCCCGCCCAAAAAAAATTATATGCATATTGTGCTCCTAAAACCCCCCTTTGGTTAATGTTGTCATGAAAAGGTTAAGCAGAAATAAACATGCAGGAGATGAGGCAGATCCAAGTGGAAGGCAAGCAGAAAACCACAAGTTTTTGGATTAAAAATCACAGATTATAATGGTTAAAATTAATAACTGAAACTGAAAAATGTTGACTCACATGATTTGAGGTGAAGCATATTTTTAAGGAGGCTCTGCCCCGATACCACCATAATTCTGCCCGAAGTTAACCACTAGAAGTTCATTCTTGTGGAACAAAAATTATCTGTTATTTGATGATTTTTTAATTGGTTTTCATTCAGTGCTTCTTTTTCTAACCGGAAACACATTAACCCTCAGTACTAGAAAGCAAATAAATAGCCAAATAATAAAACAACCCCCTTCTCACTGATCAGGGCAGACTCATCAATCAGCGTCCTTCTTTCCATTGAGCCTGCACAAAGATCTGGATGCAAAATTTTTCTCAACACAAAAAAGCAGACAGCAAGAGCCACTGGTAAATTGAAGCCAATGTGTTTCAATGATTCATTCTTAATTCTAAGAAAAAAAAGTTCAAAAATTAAAGTTTCTATAATTGGATAATCACATAGAATTGATTCATGTAGTGTTTCTCCAACCTCCCCGCTGTATCACCCCACCTATATTCACCCAACCCTTTTACTAACTCAGTAGCTTAGTTTACAATTAATATTATTTTAAAGAAATATAGATTTAATCCAGTTTTAAATACATATTTAAAATAAAATAAATACAAACTTTTCTTTCTCCTCACATTAAAGCCTTGGAGTAAAGAACATTTGTGTGTGTGTGTGTCTGTTTGATTTTAAGATAAAATTCAACTGACAAAACATGGGTCACCCACTATGGAAAACAGTTCACCAGTTTCTTAAAAATTTAGACATACAACTTAGCAATTCCACTCCTAAGTATCTACCCAAATAAAAATACATTTCTAAACAAAACCTTTTATGTTAGCTTCCATTGCAGCATTATTCACAATAGCCGAAAAGTGGAAACAACTCAAATGTCTATTGACTGGAAAATGGCTACAAAAAGTGTGACACATCTTTTATACAGTAGGATGGTATTCAGCAATAAAAATGAATAAACTATTAATATATGCTACCACAAAGATAAACCTCAAAAACATTATGTTAAGTGAAATAAGCCAGCCATAAAAACCACATATTCATATGAAATGTCCAGAAAAGGCAAAAATCTATAAAGAGAGAAAATAGATTAGTGGTTTCCTGGGGCTGGGGATGAAATGGGGGATTAACTGCAAGGGGTATGGGGAATCTTACTGAGGTGGTTAAATGTTCTAAAATTGATTATAGTGATGGTTACACGACTTGATACATTTGCTAAAGTTCACATGGGTGAGTTTATGATATGTAAATTATACCTCAATAGAGTAGTGAAAAACATTTCATCTTGCAAGAAAGATAGGGAAGCAATATAGCATTAAATAAGAAGGAAGAATTTAAAGAATGGAAGGAGTTGGAAAATGTATTAAGGGCTATCACTAGCAAGTGGCCAAATTTATTGTCCTTAGAGAGTAGGTGAAATTAATAGTACTAGACTTATTTTAGAAGAAGTGTATATGAGACTGTGCTAACCAAGGCAGAAGAGAGTGGTATAACAAAGAACATCTTCTCTTTTGATCTCTCAAAGCGGTCACCACTTAGTCTCTCTCTTTCTCTCTGTCTCTTTGTCTCTCTAAATCAATCACTTACAGCTTAGGTTAGGTTACCTTTGCTCATTGATTTTCAAACATGAAATTAGATTTCTTAATAATTATTTGCTACCTTAATGTTCTCTCTCCTCTTTTCTAAGACCATAGACTCATTGTTCACCTGGAGAAAACTTCTTATGGAAGCCATCAAAATCTGGGACCCAGATGGGGTAGACACTTGCTTAGAGTCTGAACTCAAGGAGGAGTCAGGTCCCATATTCATAATCACTGATCTCCATTCCTTCACTAACTTAAAAACCACATTAGGAATTCGGGGTTTTCAGGTAGAGTCAATGGGTTTTGAGAGTCTTCAGCAGGAGAATAGCAGTATGAGTTCCTCCTAACTGTGTGAACAGTGGCAGGGGAGGGTAGCTGACATCTTGATGATTTGGATGAAGAATTCTGGTCATTTGTTCTATTTCAGTGAACTAGAGAACAGTGTAGCCATTAAAGTTGTATTTAGGATTTTTTTTTTTTTAATGGGGTATAAATAGGTTGGATATGAGGAAAACCTTATTAGAATAGTTGTACCATTAGCTGAACTTGGAAAATATGCCTGTTTAGTGGGAAGAATACATGATGATTGTGCAAATTGAGAAGTTTGCTAGGGAAAAATATTATGGGCTTAAATTTTGACGTTGATGCTGAGATAACCATCTAAGCAGTGATTCCTTAAAGTTAGTTTACTAAATATGTTTAGTGATCCAAAAGTTGTTACTGGACAAAACATTTAAATTTGAGAGACAACAATGTATAATAACTGAAGGCATGACCACAGAATATATGAAAGAATAAAGAGAGAGAACATTGTGAGAAGAGATGTTTTGACTGAATCTTTATGTCAACCTCCATATATAAACACACACACACACACACACACACACGTACACATACATACATACATACATGGGGAAGTGTAGGTGTGAAAATCAGATTTGCAGAAAATTGTTGGGGCTCCTATCTAAATGGTGTCTGCTTTCTCTGTAAAGAGGAGTGGTAAAAGTCAAAATAGGCACTGGATAGAAAGAGAGAATGAATTAGCAAAAGATCACAGTGAGTTTGTGGGACTTTGTTGAAAAAGGAATTGATGTTGGTGATCATGATTTCTTGGCAGCATAAATCTGTTTCATTGTGTGGTTTATTTGTCATCATATAACAGCTGTAATACATATTAGAGAAAGTGAAGAACTAAATGTGTCTGCAGTTAGGATTTTGCCTTTACATTCCAATGTAAGAGCACCTGGATCAAAAAGTCTAAGTTCTAGAAAACAGTGATTTTTCTTCCAGAAGCAGCCTCAAGTTGAGATTGACTTTCTTTAAAAATCATGAGAGCTTATGGGTGCTAGCACTTACAAGAGTACTCTGCATGTTCCAGGTTTTCCATTGCTGTGTTTCGCCCATACTCCTCCAGACCGAGTTCTTCCTGATCTAGATGTTCTATCCATATCCAGCTCTTCTGTGGTCTTGCTTTCTGTAAAGTATAGGTTACATACTTAAACTAAAGCCTCAAAGTCTAACCCTGGCTTTGTGTGTAACTGGTGTTTGAAAGGGACTCCTCAAGTTCTTTATAGAAAATAATTGGTGATGGGAAAACTCCAGGTTCCAGAGAGGGAACTTCTCTACATGAAAAAGACTACCACACAGAACTCTTTGGTGGCTCTTGAACCACCACATGTCAGCATTGCCTATGGCCAGGCTACCTGAGAGTCATTCTGTTGTTCCTTCATTAAATGACATAAATGGGGTACTCTAAAACAGGTATAACAGATAGCTTTTGTTGCAATATTGCTTATTTATTGTATGAGGAGTAGAAATAGTGATTCAATTCAGTAATATCTAGCTATATTGGACTTTATTCCTCACTCCTTGCCCTGAAATCCCTTCAAACTGCTAGTTTGCATACATCTATGAAAAGCATATATTGTGGAAAAACACCATACATTGAAGTGTTCAAGTTGTTAGATTTCACTGTCCCCAGACTTTCCCCTAATACAGATATCAAGTACCTTAAACACAAAGTCTTATAATAGCTACTTTAATACTTCACTTATTTCTTAAGACTGTGAGGAGAAATTTAAGACTGGAATAAGCAAATGAGATTAATGGACAACCTTTTAATGGAATGATGGGGGCTCTGCGGATTGTCTGATTTTAAGAGATGAGCGCCTTTGTCTTTGACAAGGCTGTATTTTACAACCATGTAAAGGTAAAAGGTATCTTACAGAAAACTGAGAGACAAATTTTGTCAAGTATAGGTTCAGTTGACTTCTCTACCCACTCTAGAAGAAACCAGTTTTATATTCATTTGCAAATTCATTTCAATATTCTTGATCTATAAATGTGACTGTTCTTTGGATCCTCTTTTGAATTGGTTATTTTTTTTTCTGGTTCTCTCCTGTAATTAATGAGTTAAGCAAAACCTTGGAAGTGTGTCACTTTATATATGTATGAGAGTCATGACTTTATCTTTTTTCTGAAAATTATCGTTTAGCAGGGCTCAAAACATTTGAAACATCTCCACAAATATTAAAATCAAAAGGAAATTGAATCTTTTCCTTCAAAATCCTTAGGAATATTTGCCTTAAAAAATATATCAGTAACATCCAAAGTCATCCAGGCTTTATCTTTAACTTTTAATGTTTAACTCTGTCATTCTTATAACATATCTAATCCTAATACTACATTCAAGTGATTATGTCTCTAACATATCTCCCTTTTCTCTCTGTTTTTACTGTCAGCACCTAATTTATACCTTTATTACCTGTCAGTGGGACCATTTGCCTATCATGCAAGAACTACTAAGTTTAGCTGGGCCCATGACTGTCTACCTAAAGACTGTACTTATAATCAGCTCTGTTATAGCTGGGCAGGCTCATGTGACTATGTTCTTGTCAATGAG